AGTCATTAAAAAAACAAGAAAGAAAGAAAAGACCAAAATGGATGTCAGAAGAGACTCTGAAACTTGCTCTTGAACATACAGTAGTTAAAGTGAAAGGAAGAAATGATGACATAAAAGAGGTAAACAGAAGATTTAAAAGGGGGGCATGAGAAGAGAAAATAAAGTATTATAATGAAATGTGCAAAGACTTGGAGTTAGAAAATCAAAAGGAAGAACATGGTTAGCATTTCTCAAGCTGAAAGAACTAAAGAAAAAATCCAAGCCTCAAGTTGCAATATTGAAACATTACATGGCAAAATATTGAATGATGCAGGAAGCATCAAAAGAAGATGGTGGGAATACATAGAGTCACTGTACGAAAAGAATTGGTCAATGTTCAACCATTTCAGTAGGTAGTATATGATCAAGAACTGATGGTACTGAAAGAAGAAGTCTAATCTGCACTGAAGGTACTGGTGAAGATCAAGGCTCTAGGAACTGATGGAATATCGGTTGAGGTATTTTAACAAATGAATGCAACAATGGAAGTGCTTATTTATCTGTGCTAAGACATTTGGAAAACAGAAACCTGGCCAACTGACCGGAAGAGATCCGTATTTGTACTCATTCCTAAAAAAGATGATCAAAGAAAATGCAGATATGATCAAACAGTATCACTAATATCACATGCAAATAAAATTATGCTGAAGATAATTAAGTTGCAGCAGTATGTTGACAGGGAACTGCCAGCAATTCAAGCCAGATTCAGACGAGGCATGAAACATGGGATGTCATTGCCAATGTCAGATGGATCTTGGCTGAAAGCAGAGATTATCAGAAAGATGTTTACTTGTGTTAATTGACTACACAAAGGCATTTACCTGTGTGGATTATAACAGGCTATGGATAACATTGTGAAGAATGGGAATTCCAGAACACTTAATTGTGTTCATATGGAACCGGTACATAGACCAAGAGGCAGTCATTCAAACAAAACAAGGAGACACTCAAAACCAAAAACCAAACTCACTGCCATTGAGTCATTTCTGACTCATGTTGTTGTTGTGTGCCGTCGAGTCGGACCTGACTCATAGTGACCCCTTCTTGGGTTTCTGAGGCAAAATCACATGGAAGTATATTGCCCAACCTTCCTTCCGAGGAGTGGCTGGTGGGTTTGAACTGCCACCCTCTGGTTAGCAGTCAAGTGCCTTGGCACTATGCCACCAGAGCTCATTGGGTTTCTGAGGCTGTAAATCTTTATGGAAGTAGATCACCCAGTCTTCCTTCTGCAGAGCAGCTGGTGGGCTTGAATTGCTGACCTTCTGGTTACCAGTCAAGTCCCTTATCCACTATACTACCAGAGTTCCCAGTTTAAACTCAGGAAAGGTGTGTGTCAGTGTGGTATCTTTCACCATACTTATTCAATCTCTATGATAAACAGGTAATCCAAGAAACTGAACTATATGAGGAACATGGTATTAGGATTGGAAGGAGACTCGTTAACAACCTGCAATATGCAGATGACACAACTTTGCTTGCTGAAAGTGAAGAGGACTTGAAGGACTCCCTGATGAAGATCAAAGATGACAGCCCTCAGTGTGGATTATACCTCAACATAAAGAAAACAAAAATTCCCACAACGGGACCAATAAGCAACATCATGATAAATGGAGAAAAGATTGAAGTTACCAAGATTTCATTTTACTTGGATCCACAATCAACTCCCAGGGAAGCAGCAGTTAAGAAATCAAATGATGTTTTGCATTAGGCAACTCTATTACAAAAGATCTCTTTAAAATGTTCAAAAGCCAAGATGTCACTTTGAGGGCGAAGGTGTGCCTGAACCAAGCCATGATATTTCAGTCACCTCATATGCATGCAAAAGCTGGACAATGAATAAGAAAGACCAAAGAAGAATTTATGGATTTGAATAATTGTGTTGGTGAAGAATATTGCACTGCCAGAAGAATGAGCAAATCTGTCTTGGAAGAACAGCCAGAATGTTCCTTAATAGTGAGGATGGCAAGACTTTATTCTATGCATTTTGGACATGTTACCAGGAGGGCCCAGTCCCTGGAGAAGGACATCATGCTTAGTAAAGTAGAGGGTCAGTGATAAAGAGGAAGACTCTAAACGAGCTGGTTTGACACAGTGGCTCAGCAATGGGCTCCAACATAGCAATGACTGTGAGGATGGTGCAGGACCTGGCAATGTTTTGTTCTCTTTTCTTCTTTTACTATCAGTTTATTTAATCCTTGTAATAACTCCCACCACTCTGTTGTGTGCCATTGAGTCAATTCTGGTGCACAGTGATCCCGCATGATGTTGAACTGCCTGTAGGGTTCCAGACTGATTGCCGGTCCTTCCTCTTGCAGAGCTACTCTTCAGTTCCCACCTCCAGCCTTTGGGTTAGCTGCTAAGCTCTTAACCACTGTGCTACCAGAGGTCATTATTGCTAGAAACTTTTTAATCGGATTTAATAAAAATGTTAGTGTTAACATCTTTAATTTGTTCTAAGTTTTAACTAGAACGCTTCTAGAACCTCTTCATCAAAAATAATGTTAGTTCTTGCTTAGAGTAAACTAAAACTCTGTATTTTGTAAGACTATCAAGGATGAGTATCACAATTTACCAAATATGTTTAAAATATCCTTATTTTTCTGCTTTCCTGTTAATGTAATCATTTATATTGACAATTTTCTTAATTCTCATGGTAAGTTTGCTATAAAAATGTTTTGTCTTCTAAAGTTCTGAGAATTTAACATTTATTGTCACAAGTACTATTAACCTAGAATTTTCTTTATTTTGTTGTCTTTGTCAGACTTTATAAGCCAGTTAAATTATTTGATTCATAAAATTAGGAAAACAAGACTTGATATATTTCTATAATACTATTTTCAGAAAAAATTACATAAAATAAGAGATGCTCTTTGAATACCTGAAAAATGCTCTGGGACAAGTCAGGACTGGGGCTTTTCTTATATAGGGGTTCTTTGGTAATTTATTATTATTATTATTATTCAAATTTCAATATCTGATTGTGCAAGCTTGAGCCTCCCTGCATTTTTATTAAAGTCATCTATTTAATTTCAGTTTCCCAAGTTATTAAAGTTGTATATTATCTTTCTCAGTAACATCTTACTATTCTTTCTACTAGCTGATGTAACTCCTTTTAAGTTTCTAGTTTTATTTGTTTTAAGTAACTATACCAATGGCTTGCCAGGATTGTTGTTCTTTTTGAAGAATCAACTAAGGTCTTTTTCAGCACTTCAAATTATTTTAACAATTACTAGTTCATTTTCTTTTTAGGTTTATATTTTGTGTTTTCTCCTTTGCTAACATATTTAAAAATATTTAGACATTGTTTTGTTTACTTTGTGCCACTCTAACAAAAGATACTGTTTGTTCAAGGCAAATGGATGGCTTCCAGTTTTGTAGGCTAGAAGTCCAAGGTCAAAGTGCTAGGCTCTAGGGGCTGGGTGAAAGCCCCTCAACCTTGGGCTTCAGCTCTGCCTCCTGTTCTCGGCCCACTGAAGCTAGACACTTTTCTTCACTCAGACAGCCGATGGCTGTCGAGGGTGAGAAGCCAAAGGTTGACAAGTAAAAAGGTACAGTCTCAATATTACCAAACAACGTGGCAGGCCACTAGTTCAAGTCCAGAAAAAGTCCCAGGATGGGCAGGGCATGGCAGGCTGCTGAACGACTTGGCTACACACAGGGTTCAAGTGTGCCAAAAAGTTGCAGACCACTCCCACAGCTTCTCCTTATATGGTGGAAGCAGACCACATCCCTCAAGCACCTACTCAACTGCTTACGGCAGATTCCACTATGGAGCTGATTACCAGTCTCGTCATGGGGAATCACTCAGCTGCCCAGCCACTCAAAACCAGGCTCAGCCAAGTTAACACATAACCTTAACTACCACAGACATAACTCCTTACATTCCTCATTTTCATTCTTGCTAATATAAGCATTCAGATTTCTGAATTTTCCTCTGTTTTCTTTTCAGGTGTTATCCCATGATGCTAGGTTAATGGCTATCTTGATAACACTATCACACATCACAGTCAGCTTGCAACCAAGCTATGGAAATTATGACTTTTTTTTTCTAAGTTATTGTTGGTAGTATAGAGAAGTATGAAGATAATAACAGAAAATACCTATAATCCCTCACTCTTGAGATAAATACCCCTAACTCCCTATTTAGGAGAGCTGATGGCACAATGGTTTAGCACTCAGCTCCTAACAAAAAGAACTGGCAGTCTGCTCCAGTAATGTCAGCAAGTTCATTCGGACTCCTAGCGACCCTATTAAACAAAGTAGAATTGCCCCATAGGGTTCCCAAGGCTGTTGTAATCTTTAGAGTGGAACCTGGTTGCACAGAAGTTAAGCACTTGGCTGCTGACAGAAAGATCCATGGGAGAAAGAAGTGGCAGTCAACTTCCTAGAAGATCACAGCTTTGGAAACCCTATGGGGCAGTTCTACCCTGTCCTATAGAGATGCAGCGAGTTGGAATCAACTTGATAGCAACAGGGTTTTACTCTTTAGGGAGTGGGCCCTGTTGGTGCAGTGGTTAAGCACTTGGCGGCTAACGAAGAATGGACAGTTTGACTTCACCTGGTGCTCAGTGGGAGTAAGATGTAGCAGTCTGCTTCCTTAAAGATAACAATCTTGGAAATTCCACGGGGCGGTTTAATTCTGCCCTATAGGGTCACGAAGAGTTGATCACTCCAGAGCACACAACAACTCCAATATGAGGACACTGTGAACCTATTATGTTTTCTGAAGCCCACACAATTGACATAAGGCTGGCCGCCCAGAATGTCGACTGAATGGTGGAGAAGTGGGTGTGAAAATGAACATAAGCCAAGTTTGAATCAAATACGGGTTATTAAGAATTGACTACATCATCATTCAATGACTCCGCCTTTGCCTGTTAAAATCACCCGGTAGCACATGCCTGAATTACATAGACTTTAAATAATATGCATATTTACCTTACTTTTGGTCTTAGAACCCCTCAGGCATTTTCCTCCCTCACATACCTGGATTCTTCTGCCTTGAGAGCTGTATTTTTGAAACCAACTTTTTCTTCAGCAGTATTGTCATCCACCTCATCACATACATTTGCCTCAGTTTTTTCGGGAGTCAGCGTAGTTTGAAAACATCTTCCACCTTCAAAAGTCAGTGTTATGTTTGAGATGGTGACATGTTTGGAGATTCCTTTGGGTTCATTCTTGGTTTTCATATCCCGTAGACACCGAGCCCTCAGAATGTTTTCATCTCTTGCCTTTGAAATTAATAAGCAACAGCAAATCAGGTGATAGAAGAGCATCATACAGAAAGAGAATATGTACGGAGCAGTGTTGAATAAAGTGATCACTCATTTCATTCATATTTGCTTGGTGCTCAGGAGTATGTAGGTGCTATTAGGAGGAGGGAAGCTGGTGCTGCATAGCCATTGGGAAGAGTTGAGGCTGGTGTTAGAAGGACGCTCTCAGGTTGGGGCTGGGGGTCTGCCCACTACTGCCTGACATATTTAAAAACTCAAGTTGTTTCCAGAGCCACTGAGGTTGGATGAACACCTGAAACTATTGCCTTGATGTAATATTTAAACCTTAAATCTCAAATGGAATCTGTTCCCTGAAGTCAGTTTTGAACCAAGCAACAGCTTAACCTATTTAGTAAAGTATGTCTGCCTTGCGCACTGTGCTTTCTCAAAGATTTGTCTACGTGGAATCAAATTGACAACAGCATCTCAAAAGGTTAGAGGAGAAGCTTAGGGGGCAGTGACTTCATATTAATGGTGGTGGAACAATTTGGAAAAGGAGAGGGAGAATAGTTACACAACTGGAGAATGTAAGCAAAGTCACTGAATTGTACATGTAGGAATTGTTGAAATGGGGTATACTTTGCTGTGCATGTGTTCACAAAAACAAAATAAAATAAACAAATCCTCATGTTCTAGGGGACAGCAAGGTCAATGGCAGAACATAGTCTACAAAGAATTTATTCTACATCTGAGTTTGGTTAGTAGCAACTGGGGTCTTAAAAGTTTGCAACTGGCCATCTAAGGTGCAACTATTGGTTTCTTCCTGTCCAGAGCAAAGAAGAGTGAAGAAAACCAAAGATGCATGGAAATAATTAGTTCAAAAGACTAATAGACCACATGAACCTCAGCTTCCACGGCCCTGAGACCAGAGCTAGATAGTGCCTGGCTACCACTACAAATTGCTCTGAAAGAGATCCCATTAGAAAGTCCTGGATAGAGTGGGAGAAAAATGTAGAGCAAAACTCAAAATTAAAAAAAAAAAAAAAAGACAAGACTAGGCTTACTGGTCAGATAGAAACTGGTTGTCACCCTTCAAGCCTGAAACTGAACTTCCTCCTGTATCTGAATTTTCAAGCAATAGACAGGTCTACCAGGTGAAAAAAAACTCTAGGAAAGTAGATACTCTTTAGAATAATTCAGCATTTTAGATGAAAATGGCAGCATTTGCCTAAGAATGAAGTACAGAAGCCAAAAGCGTTCAGAGAGAAGGAATGGAAACAAGAAACACCTGGAGGATGTGGAGGAATGATGTCACACTGAGGGGATTGCAATCAATGACTTGAAGCAAAATGTGTGTGAATTGTCAAATGGAAAATTGATTGGGTCTGTAAACTTTTACCCAAATAACAAAAAATGTTTAAAAACACCCCAAAAAACTCAACTCATATTATCAGGTACACCAGTGTCACCTCATATGAGAAAAGGAATGCTTCTTCTCTTTGAGTTGTTGGGTAGGAAAGATTTTCTAGAAATGCTGTGCCACCTGCTCCCCAACGTGAGGTTCCTCTTGATTCAAGAGCATCTAATAGATGACATGGGTTGGGGGATCATAATAATAATAGTTGGTTTTTTAAAAAGCTTAGAACCTGTACCTAAAAATTAATACCCTAAAACCTTCCTTTGCTCTTCATTTCCCAGTTTCTGTTAATGCACCACCTCTCCTAGTAACTCCCTGACTACCTCAGAATTTCTAGTAGGTCAGCAAATCCTACTGACACCATCCCTGTAGTATTCCTTGCATCTGTACCTTGTTCCACCCATCGCCACTACTTAGTCCCTTACCTCTACTACAAGCCCTGAAAAGACTCCAATCATCTCTTTCTTTAAACATTCAACTTTATTTTTTCCCTGACAATGCAATTAATACATATTTATTATAGAGAATTTTGGAAACCCTATAAGGCATAAATAACTACTACTCTTATGGTGCATTTCGTTCTGGACTTTTGGTCCATTTCTTTATTTTGTGTCTACAAATTGAGTTTACACTGGAGTTCTGTATCCTACCATTTTCACATACAATTTTATTTTAAATATTTTCCTCATGCTTTAAAAAATTTCATAAGGTTACCCCAATTTTTCTAATTAAAACTTAATTCCCTTTATTGTAGGAAATAGAGACTATACTAAAAGTGTAAAGACATAAACGTGACTTGTTTATAATCCTACAATTCAGAGATAGACTGTTGTTAACAAAATGGAGTTTTTACCTTCTATTGTGTTTGTGTGTGAATATATTTTTACATAATAGGAGTAGCATTTTTCATTTTTCACTTAACCTTATATGATGAACAGGTTTCTAAGTCAAGAAAAGTTCTTTAAAAATGTAGTAACTACAGGGTATTCATTCACTGAACAAATATTTACTGAGTGCCTATGATCTTTCCAGACACTATGGTAGATCCTAACAAGATGGACATGGCACCTGACCTTCATGGATTTACATTCATTTAGCTCTTCCTCTGTGTTGGGCATTTAGGTTGTTTCCATTATTATAAACATGGTACAATTATCTTCTTTGTAGCTAAAAAATCGTCATTCCTAATTCTGGTTAAGTTCTTGGGAAAGATTGCTAGAGGTGGAATCACTGAGTCAGAGTGTAAACATTTTTAAGGTTCTTAACTCATTATGAATTCAAGAAACTTTGTACCAATTTTCACCCCTACCAGGAATCTGTATGAGTTCCAAGTTCACCATACTAATGTTGATTTTTTTAAAAATTAACAGTATCATAGATTAATTTTTTTTCTAAATATGCATTGCTTTGGTTACTAGTGAGTTTAAATATTTAAAAACTTATACTTATTTAATTGTCTCTTCTTCTGTGAAATCTTTATCCTTAGCTATTATCATTTTTCTGCTGTGGCCCTATTGGAGGTTTTTTAGCAGTAGTCTTCAAACTGATCTCATTACTTACAATCCATCCTGTCATCACATTAATCTTTTCAAAACACAGCTCCTTCTTTCCTTTAAGCCTTTGGTAGCTAAGGCTTGCTCAAAGAGTGAAGCCCCAACTTCTTAATTTGGCATTCAAGGGTTGCAAGCAACATTTCAATCCTACATTCTAATACCACATATATTTTGCTCCAGCCAAATTTAAGTAACCATTCTTAGATATGGTTCTATGTTTTTCTACTATCTGGCCTTTTGTAAGGAGCTCTGGTGGCGTAGTGCCTAAGGCATTTGACTATTTGACTGCTAACCAGAAGATTGGTGGTTCAAACCCACCAGCCACTCTGAGGAAGGAAGACTGGGCAATTTACTTTTGTAAAGATTTACCTCCTTGGAAATCCAAAGGGGATCACTATGAGTCGGAATCGACTTGAGAGCAGTGGGTTTTTTTTTTTTTTTTTGGCCTTTTGTAAGACTACTCCCTTGTTCTAGTTTTTTATTTTCCTACTTTCAACCTCATCTTTACCTATAGAAATTTCATTTCATCCTTCAATGTACTGGGTACTTTTATACATATTTAAATCTTAAGATAACCCTTGCATTCATTAATATTCTCCTTTTAGAGATGAGGAAACCGAGGCTTATGTGACTATTCCAAAGTCCATAACTATTCCAGTGACTATTCCAAAGTTACACACCTAATCGTCAGCAGAGTAACATTCTAATCTAGGTTTCTAATTTGGATTCCAAAGTTTTTCCCCTATGATATAATTTTCTGATACTGGATAAAGTTTGATGGTAAGGATGGTCACCACCTATTTCAGGACATCTTACAATACTTTAAATCAGGTTCCCAGGGATCAAATCTCATTATTAAAATGAGGTTACTTTAGAGTAGGTACCATAGCATTTTTTTTTTTTTT